GCCGGTGAGATTTGAACAGCCAAACTGCAGAACTGCAGTCAGCTGAAGTAGCCTGCAGTGCTGCATTTAACCACTGCGCCACCTCGGCTCTTGGATCAACCTATTGTAAGAACTGAGTGCTTGGAGGGAAAAAGAAATGTGAATGTAACAAACAAGCAGGCAAACCAACCAAGAGATGAATACAAGGGGGCATAAATATCCTTATCTCTTTTTCTCAGTGCAAGATCCTGAAGGTTGCATCAAGCTTTACACCAAAGGGGCAGATTCTGTCATCCTAGAAAGACTCCACAGTGACCGGACTAATGAAGATTGCACCGTCAAAGCACTGGATGTAAGTTTTGTATTGTATAGAAAAGCCATGAATGGGGGCCATGATTATCTCGTACAGGGGTGTCAAACTCAAGGCCGACAGGGTGTTTAGATCTGGCCCGCGGGCTCACCCTGGAAACAATGGGAGAGCTGTGTGCGGCCTCCCCAAACTCCATTTTCACTGGCAGAGGGCTGCAGGAGGCTGTAGCAGCCGAAAACAGAGCCTCGATGAGTGACGTGGAGCTGGCCACGCCCCCTGCCCCCGAGGTCAAGCACAACCCTGATGCGCCCCACAATGAAATCGAGTTTGATACCCCTGATCTAGCTGAAGCTCTGCCCCATTTTTAGGTGCATCTATGTGTGTTAAAAGGAGCAGGGGCGTCAATCTTGCAGTTCAGCTGTCATCTTGATGGCTTTAGTTACAATTAACACCCACCTAATTAATCTGCTTAATTTTGAGCCAATCACTCCTCCCAGGGGTGGGCTGCTGGGGGTTCGCAGGGGTTAGGGAGAACCTCTAGCTAAGATTCTGTGCAGTTCGGAGAAGCCCCCAAATCCCACCCACCCCTCCCATCCCCTCCCAGGAGTCCCCATGTGGCCCATTTTGGATGCAGGTAAGTACAGGATGCTCGCAGAGGCTTGGGGAAGGCGAAAAACAGGCCTACCAGAAGTTCAGGCTTCCGGAGCCTGGGGAGGGCAAAAATACCCCCCATCATAGGGCAGGAGGCTGCCCACCATGGCCATGCCCACCCAGCAACCAGGAGGAGAACCCCTTGCTAAAATTTTTGAAGCCCACCCCTGCTCTTCATCCAGGGACAAAACTTGACCTAAGAAAAGATTGGAGAGCCGTTTGTCTGAAATGGTTTCCTGCTTGAGCAATAGCAATAGCAATAGCA